CGAGGCTTAAAGATCTCGTAGTTGGCTACCTCAAGGAGCAAAACGTTCACGCCTCGGCTTCTAGTGACTTTGAGGAGTAGGATGGCTGTGCCGCTTGCCTTCGGGCTTCGGGATGACGGTTCACTAGCCACACTGAAAGATTATCGAGTAGGTTTCATGGCTTGGTTTGATGGCTTCGGGTGACTGTTTCGGCATTCGGAAAGAAAGCTGCATGCGCAGGACGGGGCTAAAGCATGAGAGAGATCGTTCTTGAAGCAGAACTGAAATGTGGGCGTACCATTTTAATATATACGTATACATATGTACAGATGTGTGTAGATATACACAGAAAATATATAGTACAGTATTAGTGCGTCAGGAAAACAAAACACCTGTCGAAAAAACGATGTAGATGCACATCTGTATCTGCATGTGTATCCTTACGCGCTCCAACAGAAGTTTTTGCACGACATGCGTTTCTGCTAGACACAGGCTTCGGTTCGACAATGGTGCTTTCAGACAAGGAATTCTGTGTACAGGGGTTTCTGTCGGACGGGGTTTCGGGAGTTCTGATGTCAAATGGCTTGGCTTGGCTTCTATCGGCCCAATTTGGCTTGGTTCTTGGCGTTCTCAGCTTTCAATCGCAGTCAAATCTGTCTCGGTAGCAGCGCACATGCATATGTAGGTATACACACATGTGGTACCAAAATTCGCTGGGGGCCGTGAGGGGACTATAGCGCTGCAAACCTATGTAGACATGCACATGCATGCATGTCGGAGCATACATACACGCGCTTACATACACGCACATGGGTGTTTACGTATGTATTCACGCACACACACACAGGGGAGTGCGTATACACCTGTACTAATATACAAAACGGTGTATATCATGTATCCTTTATGTTTTTTCATATGCATATCTGTCATGCATGCACATGTTTATGTAATGCCAGGCCACCCAACCTACCCGCAACTCAGGTCGAAGACAAGGTGGAGATCCGCTTAGTCGATGGCATGCTGAGCGCTGCGAATGTGGTTCTGGGCTTATTTTGGAGGGTTTGGGTCTTCAGAGGGGCGGAATGCTCGCAGACTGTGTTGTGCAACCGATTTCCAAACACCGTGCCCGTTTTTCGATCTAAAACCCCAAAATCTTGAATCCCACAGCCTTTGCTTTTGGGGGATGAAGCTGCAGTCCGCATTGTGACTTTCAGCTCTTCGCCCGGCACCTGGCACCTTGCCTACCGTCCGATTTGAACGGCATTCCGGCAGAAACGCTAACCTGTCGAGGTAGCTTTGAAATCCCTTACAGATTCGCCGGCCAGTTTGGATCCGGAATTTGCGGACAGCATGCCCTTAATCGCAAGCTTGTCTTTTTTCGAGGCCACTTTGGGAGAGGGGCGATACGTCGTCAACATCGCCAATGGGCCGGGTCCCGAAACCCTGGTGCTACTCGAATACAACTTCGGGTCGCGCAATTCCGGGGTATGGTCCGAACACAGCCGGGTTGCAGCCCTTCAGGGTTTGGCGATGTTCAAGCGCCTTGGCGGTTGGGATTCCCAGCATCCAAGCTCGGTCCAACTTAGTCGAACCCTGTCGAAGCCCAAGTTTCGAAATGCAGATTCCGAAGTAGTATCGGCACCATTCTCATCAGACTCGGCACCAGCCACAACATGAGCAGCATAGTCTTCAGCATCTGCAGCGTTGCCATCGTCAATATCACCACCTCTTCATCAGCGATCGTAATCAGCAGCTGTATCAGCCGCAGACTCCTCGTCTTCAACACCATCCTCAAAATCATCATCATCAGCCTCAGCATCATCCTCATGGTCGTCACCATCACATCATCATCAGCATCCCCATCATCAGCAACATCCTCATCAGCATCATGATGATGATGAAGATGAGCATCATCGCCAATATCATCATCAACGACGACTACTACTACCACTACTACTACTACTACTACTCCTCCTCCTCCTCCTCCTCCTCCTCCTCCTCCTCCTCCTCCTGCTGCTGCTGCTGCTGCTGCTGCTGCTGCGGCTGCGGCTGCGGCTACTGCTGCTACTGCGACTGCGACTGCTGCAACTACTGCTTCATCTTCTCCTACCACTGGTACTACTCGTAGTAGTAGTAGTAGTAGTAGTAGTAGTAGTAGTAGTAGTAGTAGTAGTAGTAGTAGTAGTAGTGGTGGTAGTAGCAGCAGCAGCAGTAGTAGTGGTAGTAGAAGTGGTACTGGTACTGGTGCTGGTACTGGTACGGGTACTGGTAGTGGTAGCAGTAATAGTCACTTAGTCGTCGTAGTAGTAGTAGTAGTAGTAGTAGTAGTAGTTGTAGCAGTGGCAGTTGTACTGGTACTGGTACTGGTAGTAGTAGCAGTAATTAGTAGTCACTTAGTCGTAGTCGCAGTAGTAGTAGTCGTCGTCGTCGTAGTGGTAGTAGTAGTGGTAGTGCTAGTAGTGTGGTAGTGGTAGTCGTAGTAGTAGCACGGGTAGTAGCAGTAGTAGTTACTTAGTCGTAGCAGCAGTAGTAGTGGCAGTTAGTAGTAGCAGTAGTAGTACTAGTAGTAGTAGTAGTAGTAGTAGTAGTAGTAGTAGTAGTAGTAGTAGTAGTAGTGGTTGTTGTTCTTGTAGGTTGTAGCAGTACAGTAGTGGTAGTGGTGGTGGTGGTGGTGGTGGTGGTGGTGGTGGTGGTGGTGGTAGTGGTGGTGGTATTGGCAGTGGCAGTGGTAGTGGTTGTGGTTGTGGTAGTCGTAGTAGGAGTACTATTAGTAGCAGTAGTAGTGACTTAGTCGTAGTAGCAGTAGTAGTTGTTGTAGCAGGAGTAGAAGTTATTGGTATTTCGTAGTTGATAGTAGTTAGTAGTTTGTAGTTAGTAATTTGTAGTCCTCAGTAGTCAGTATCCAGTTCTTGGTCGTTACTACTTGGTAGTTAATATGACAAGCAACAGTTGGTAGTAGTAGTAGTAGTAGTAGTAGTAGTAGTAGTAGTAGTAGTAGTAGTAGTAGTAGTAGTAGTAGTAGTGGCGGTAGTGGCGGTAGTGGTAGTTGTAGTTGTTGTAGTAGTAGTGCTAGAGTGCGAGAGTGGTAGAGTCGTAGTAGTAGCCGCAGTAGGCGTAGTAGCCGTCGTCGTCGTAGTAGTAGTAGTAGTAGTAGTAGTAGTAGTAGTGGCGCTAGTGGTAGTTGTAGTTGTTGTAGTAGTAGTGCTAGAGTGCGAGAGTGGTAGAGTCGTAGTAGCCGCAGTAGGCGTAGTAGCCGTCGTCGGAGTAGTAGTGGTAGTAGTAGTAGTAGCAGCAGCAGCAGTAGTAGCAGTAGGAGTTGTAGGAGTTGCAGTAGGAGTAGCGGCAGGAGTAGCAGTAGCAGTAGAAGAGCAGTAGCAGCAGCAGTCGCAGAGGCTGTAGCAGCGGTAGCAGCAGGGTAGCAGTAGGAGCAGTAGCAGAATAACTTGTAGTAGACACTGGCATACGCAGCAGCATTCTGCTTGCAATGCCATTTTCGCGACGGGAGACCGACAGGCCCGTGTCGAAGCCGATTCTGCAGTCCATCTGCGATCATGAGGCAAACGCTTCAAGCGTTCCCTGGCGTGTCTCCCTGTGTCCTTATATCAGTGTTTGTGTCTTCGTCTGTGTGTGTGCGTGTGTGCGTCTCTCTCTCTCTCTCTCTTTACATTGCGCGGGTGGGGTGCAAGGCAGGGCTTGGTGGCTTCTTATTTGACTTCGGTTTGCAAGTTCAGGTAAGAAGAGGCAGGATTTCGGCTCCGAGGAGCCTGGGCGAGAAGCATCTGGGGGTTCTTGCGAGGGCAACGTGAACTTGCTTCTGGCTTTCGGATTCTGCCATACACTTGGAGCCAGGTCGGGACTCATCTCCTTCGCATGATGAATGACGAGCACCAGGCTGGTAATGTGGGGGAACGGTCAGTCACGCGAAGCCCGAGTCTAATTCTTCGGGCCTTCATGGTCGGCTTTTCGGAAGTGGGAGACTCTTGGGTTCGAACATCGTGCGTGCAGCGTCGCAGAAATCGCACTTCCTAATGAGAGTCTTTGTGAATAGAGCCCGTTCTGTCGGAGGATCATCCTTAAGCGTTGCATGTGAAGCTTTCTTCTGAAACTCTCGGATCCTACGCCTTACAGTAAGCCACGCAGCGATGGAACCAAAGCTCCACGTGCCTCTTCCTTTGAAGGTGTGGCACGGCTGCCGTGATCGGTATAAGCTCCAGCGTCTCGGCGAGGGAATCAAGTTGCCACATGTCGTGCCACTCAGAGATGAAGTGGTTCACACTACCATATCCTTTCCTCGCACAGGTGAGTTGGAAGCTTGGACGAGATACTGACCATCTCCTTCCAAACCCCTAAGTTTAGTAGCAATGTTGGGCCAGAGCCCCATAAACACAAAACTTGAGGCTCTACGCAGTCCACGAGAGCCGATCCAAAATCCCTTCTGGAGCACAGTTGAGAGGTGAAGAGGGCCAGAGGGTGGAGCGGTTTGGTGTTCAGAGATTGATCTTTACCTGGCCTCCGGCCACAAGCCCTCGCCAGGAATCCTTGGATTACAGAGGAGGGCTTTGCCACGCTCAACACGTGCTCCTGACTCTTTTGAAGTCCAAGTTGAGGCTGTGAGGGCAGCATTTTGGGCTTCGGACTCCGTGTTTCTGCAAACCATGCTCGGCCAGGAGACGACGAAAGCTCCTTCTGGGCTAGAGCCGGTAGTGCAAGTGGCTGGATGCATAAGCGAAAGAATGATCGAACGAATCACGTAGGCCCAACAGGCAGTTGAAACAACATCTCATCTACCATTGCGAAGCTTGTCATCATCTCCTCGGATGCGACGTTTTGCGAGTCCAAGACATGTGCAGTAGCGACAAACCATGTGCTGTAGTCACAAGACTCTTGAAGCGTCGTGGAACTTGAGCTAAGCCGTCAGCCACGATGCAATCTCCGATCACACAATCGAAATCCTCTCTCGGTACCCTGGCACCCAAATTTGAGCCTTGGAAGCCGCAAGCCTGGACTTCCTTGGAGATGCCATGAAACACAGAGCTCCTTTGCTCTTCCTGCTGGGAATGGGCACCACGCTGGTGGAAGTCGAGCGAAAGTTCCTGGCGCCCTCGGGTTTGGCTGAGAAGGCCGGGGCTCTACGAGTTTGGGGATTGTTCACGGATTGAGGGAATGAAAGGTTTACGTTTGAGGTTGGGTGCCTCATCGATTTAAGGTGGAGCGCTGATCTTGGGGAGTCTAAGGGCCTGCATATGGGCATATACTTGTAGGCGGGTTTTTTAGGGTTCAGCGGCTTGTGTTTTAGGTTGACCGAGGGTGTACTGCGGGCTAATGTTACAGCTCTTGTCGGACTTCAGCTTCAGGTACGGTATTCCTGAAACTGTAGATCTTAGGCTTTGTCTGCTGCTGGCAGTTCACACGGGTCCAAAAACGGATGACACACGGATTCGCAGGTACGGCCGAAGCGTGAAAACACGGCATGTGGGATTTCGGTATCCAAGTTCAATGGAGTAGACCGTTTTCTGAGTTCAGGGCCAGGGTCTTGGGGGCAAGGGTTCGTATAAAGGTTTTGGGCACGGACGTGCGCAGTCACCAAGACCACCCTGCAGATTGTTTGGCCAACTTTTCCGAAGGCAGTGGCTAGTGTTCTTATCAAAATAGGAAAGCACGAAGCCGTCTCGGCTTTGAACTGTGAGGTTGCCGGGCTCGGTGGGAGGTGCTTAGGCGCTTCTCGGAATGCATACGATCCTGAATGACATTCGGACTTGCGTGTTATAGAGTGCGGAGCGTGTTGGGTTTAGGCCTTTTGTAGTGTAGTGCTCCATCATGGACGTTCGTGCTACGACATTGGTGTGTTGTGGGGTTGAGGCCTCCGAAGAGAGATGGAAGGGTGGGTCAGCGTTGGCTCTAAAGTGCGGCCAGCGGTCATCGCCACGGTGCTGGGAAATGGCACCGGGAACCGGAGCCCTCATGCAACTCAGACCCTATCTGATTCTTGTGATTCGAGAGGCCGGAGCCGATGTCTGCGCACGAGCCCAGGCCCCTATGTTAGAGCCCTATCCCTAGACCCCGGAACGCTTTGTGCTCAAGCAGGCTTCACAAACCTGAACTCAAAGACTGATTCCGATCCCGAAGACGAGGTCAAAGAATTTACCGATCGCTACTGGGACGACGGCCGCTGGCGGCTCTGTTCCCAGGAGCATAGGGAGTCTTTCATCGAGGTTCAGCTGGGTGCTTTACAGGAGAGCTTCTCCAAAGCAGACGTGCAGGTCGGCAGCCTCGCACCAAAGGTAGACGATGTTATCTTGTCCCGACGTATGGTTTGTGTGAACGGTACAGTTTGGAAACCTTACCTACATTTACCGTGGCTATGCCTGGCTCCGCTGCCACCGCTGATTGTTTTCTTACGTTGGCGGGGGTCCGGGGGGGGGCGGGGGGGAAGGGGGGCAAGGCACATGGTACGTAATGCTGAATGTCTACAAGGGCCGGACTTATCACAGTACGAGACCATCAGATGCACTCCACACCTCACAAATGTTATATGTTATCGCGCCTTCATCCAAGCGCTGTGGAGGACTTGTGGCTTCGACAGCGAGATGGAGCTTGGGAGTTGTGGCTGGGCTGGCTGAGTGTTGTATGACTTTCAAAGGCTTGCGGAAGTTGTGTTCTTTGCTTTTGGTGCAGTTGGTAATTCGACGGTTGTAGTAGTTATTTAGTTGCTCATGAACATAATGCTACTGAATGTTACCGATTATCGCAACCTCGTTGTTCGGTTTCAATTTGGTATGACGTTCGTGCGCTTCAGTGATGTGATTGATGACCTGAGGTTTCAAGCATCGCCGGTAAACTGCTTACCTCGGTTTGAAGATGCAGGGCTAAGTTCATAGGATTCAGTTTTGGAGAGAAACGTTTTCCTCACAGTGTTACAATGTGTTACACAAACCCGGCGATCCGAATTGGTCTGGTCCTTTGAGTCATTAAATCCAAGCTGTGAGCTTCGAGTTTTGTTCGCTCAACCGTGGTGGAATTGAGCCTGCCCTTGGTGCCGATTCAAAGATACTGATATAGCCGCTCCAGTTTAGAGGGTGGCGTTCGCAGCCCTTGGTCCAGCAGGTCAGAACCCTTGGCCCCATGACCGTATGCATGGCGACAGCATAAAACTCGTGCCAAATCTCTGCGCCCCAAAGCTCATCGAACCCTACAGAAGCCGCCCCAGCACGGACTCCGTAAAACAGGAAAGTGCCGGCGACGAAGACTCGGCGGCGCTCTGGTGGCGAAACCAGCGAGTTCCTGGAGCTGACAGCCTCCCGATCAGATGATGGCTCGCTGGAATCTTCCGGAGTATTTATGATTCCCAGTCTTCTAAGAGCTTACAGGGTATGACAGATTCCGCGTTAGTTCCAGGTTTACGGTCCGGGTGAAGGTTGACTGTGCTCTCCTAAAGACAGTTCTTAAATAGTGAAATATAGCCCCAAAGATGGATTGAGCTGCTTCCTGGGCTTTCAGAGGGCTAACTACTGAGGCTGGAGATTGGGATTGGTGCGCTTCTCGTGACCATGCTAGGACCTAGCTGCTGCTGCGGCAGAGACCAGAATATAGCAGAGCACTCGAGAATAGTTGTTCTTAGACGCCTGACGAAGAATCCCGTGCGACCTCCAGCTCCCTGCCCAAGGCTGAAACCCCAAGACCCTGTCGGGTTGGACATCATCGCCAGAGCTCCAAGATCTGCTGGCCGACTAAGGACGTCACAGCCATCCAGGACACCTTGCGGGAGATGGGGCTCCTGGAGGAGGAACGCCTTGCAGGGGGCGGGGGGACTATTATACTTGGCCTGGCGGTTGTTGATGCTCGGATGTTGTTTGCTTTCCTTGGGGCTTGTAGGGGCCTTTGATCCATGCATGCCGTGGGTGTTTCAACTCTCCTTGAACCCGAAGCTCCAAACCCTACTGCAGGCGCCAGACACCTTAGGCCTCAAAAAGTTGCCATAAACGTCAGAATCCGGAAACCCTGAACGAAAACTGAACCCCAACTAAGTGTCTGAAACTTGACTCCCTTAATACCATGGAATCTTATGGGAAGCCTGGATACGGGACATGTCACATTCTGATGTTCTTGCACTGAATCCTGGGTTCCTCGGGCGGCAGGATCATTGTAAGTTACATGGACCACCTTGCTAACCCCACCTTGAGTTGCAGTAGTATTTGGGGGGAAAGGATAGTGACGGTCCTCCTGAATCCCGCCAATATTTGGCCCGTGCACCGGAATCCTCTGGAATCACGCCACTCCTTAGGGGAAAGCATTCTGGCTAGCGGTCCTGCATTCTCCCATACTTGGGGGAAGCAGTTTGGCGGTGCTCCCGCATATTCGTGGATCCCGCCAATACCTGGGGGAAAGTATTCGGGGCGGTGGGAACAAAGATGATCAGGTACCTATATGGCACCAAAACGTGGCGCATGGCCTTTCGGAAGGGAGACAACACCCTCACAATGTTCCCCGACGCCGCCTTCGCGCCGGAGAGTGAAAGAAGCCATACAGGGTGGTTGGTGGTATGGGGAAAGAACGTCATCAATGAAGCAGTGCTTGGGGGAAGGCAGTTTGATGCTCTCCTTGTGGTGTCCGTCTCCTGGTCGTCGAGGTCGTTGCAGTGGTCGTCGTGGTGGTCGTGATCATCATGGTCGTCAGGGTTATCGGGATTCTCTTTCACTGTTTCACTGTCCGGGGATCCGCTGGCATAATTTGCGTCGTGAGAGTTTCTTTGATTGTGAACATTGTGAACATGCGCTCCTCGCTTAGACTGTTGCGGTCCATGGCCAAACTGCAAGGCTTTCCGGGATACGTGAGACGGTCTGTTTCTCCTTGAATGTGGAAGCAGTGGGGAAGTTGATACTTTCACAACCCAACGGAGCAAGCCATCCACGTAGGCCAGAGACTTCTAAAATCTTCTAAACCAAGCAGTCATGTTTCTGAATGCGCCAGTATTTGCAGGGAAAGTTTTTGCCTGGTCTCCCGTGGTGGTCTGTGGGCTGTCTCTGGGTGGTCTTCCGGGGTCTCGTGTGGCCTGGCTGTCGTGATGTCGTCATCAGGGTGATCTTTCACTGTTTGGGGATCTGTGCTGGCGCAAGTGTGTGTGTTTCGAGAATGGGAGTCGTCCTCGGCATATCGGCCAGGGATGTTCGTTGGAGTCCGCACTGCGTCCCTTCGCCACAATCGGCACCAAGTGCCCCGGATTGGTTTGCAGGATCTGAGCCCCTATTGATGGTTCGAGCTTCACCTTGAGCCTTGGACCCCGAACCCCAGTACTTGTAAACCCTAAGTCCTGAACCTCCAACTTTAAACCCTATGCCGCTACAGCAGTAGCATGACTTTTTTTCGCTGTGGGCTACTTGTGTTTGCCTCCAAGAACCAGGTAAGGAGTGCAGGTCTTTGGTGTCGCGGCTTGCGCTAGAGGGCGCAGGATTTCGCACAAGGCCTCGGATGCAGCGGGCTTTAACGGTAATGGGTAGTGCTGGCATTGGCCCTTGCGTTGTTATGCAGGCCTCAGTATCTCACAGTAGGATTCCGTTACTGTAATCATAAACTGGGATACCTCGAAGCACAAGTCTGATTGCATACCACCAAGAAATTAGGGCATGGATTCCCTGCACTCATTTAGAATAGCTCCAACGGTATGGCAGTTTACACTTATACCTAGAACCTACCCGAAGTGCCACACAGGCCCCTGATCCGGAAAGTCTAGCTCGGCGCAGAACAAACTCCTGATCCCTTTGTCATCTCCAAGTCCCGACCGAGGCGTCAAAGCTTCGAGCTGGGTGCCGTGCGGGTGGATGCCGATGAGGTGGGCCCTGCGTAAGTAGACGACTTTCAATTCGACGACTTAGGTGCCCAATGGTGACACCAGGTCTCGAGTTGTGAGTGCAGGAGTCAGGGATTAGGTTCTCGGGATTCAGCAATGACATACTTGGCTTTAGAGTTTCGGGTTTAGGGCCAGAGTTTTTGCGTTCAGATCAAAGGCTGAGCAGCAGCTGCAATCAGCGACACGGTCCTCATCACCATGTTGGATGCCAGACAAGCAATACGACGCAGTAAAAGTGTACTGAAAACCCCGCTGCCACCAGAAAGCTCCCGAACCACCCGGATGCTCAAAGCCCACAACCCGTCGCCCAAAGCCTTGAGGCAGATTTCGGCCATAGCGTCATGGAGATCGAGGTGCTTTACTTGTCCCTGTCTGAATGCCAGAAACCCGACTTTGCAGTTTTAAGGTTTCCGTGTGCGTTCGCGTGTGTCTGTGTGTGTGTGTGTATGTGCTTCGATGGCTTCGGGCATGGCTGTGTAGGCTTCGAAGGGTATATAGGTATGTTGAGGTTGCGCTCCATGCAATATAGGCAGAAGGATGTGGTGTATGCATTTAGGATTCACGTGTGACTTGATCCAGAGACAGATCTGGCTGTCTTAGCTTTCTGCGCTGGTTCAGTTGAAAGTCTTGGCCCGGATGACCACCTACGAAGCTCACACTCTTTTCAATGCCTGGGCACAGATCTAGATATCACGATAATCGAGGAGGCTGCAACACAAACAGTCAGTTGAAGACAGGGACTGAAGACTCTAGCAAACACGCTGTACAACTGCAGGGCTGGGGCTTTGCATTACTAATTATACAGATTCCTTTACACAAACAGTTGTAAACGAACATTTAATGCTGTGTGACAGACGGGAGCACTTTCAACAACATCGCTTTTGGTCACCGTTTAGGTCGTAGAGTTTGGTGATGCTCGAAGGCAACCAAGAAGCCCATGTCCCAAACCTAGAAGAGAAGCCGCAAGCTCTGAAAGCGTCTTAAGCGCGACGCTGCGAGTCTTCGCCGGCCCTCAAGTTACCTGCAACTGCGCCAAGATCACAAGATTGTGGATCTTGGGGGAGGCTAGAGAAACCATGAGACACAATGGATGAAGAAGTACACTAAATATCAAAGTCATGTACATAGTTTGTTTCCCAGTTAGCTCTTTACTGGAAAGAATAGCGAAAAGATTAATGGACAGTAGGAAAAGCAACAATAATAAGAAGGTTGGCAGTGGCAATACCAATCGTGATTGCAATCATCGCAATAGTAGTATCTACATTACTTCAACTTGTACTACTTCTGAGAACAAGTATAATAATGCTGACATGAATACTATCACTGTAAGCAGCACCAGAACAACGTTAGTACATGTGTATATATAAATATGTACATCTACATTGCACAATCATACTATGATTATGTATGTCCGTTTGTCTTGCGTCAATTGGGGCTGCAGGGCCTGAGGGGTTCGTCTCCTTGGCGAGGGTGAAGTTGTGATTCAGAGCTCTTGTCACGGCTTAGGTTTTGGGGCTGTAGGGTTGGGCATTTACGTCTGCCTGCTCTCACCTGCCATTTGTATGGATGCTGATGCTGAAATCCCACATGCCTCAACCTGAACCGGAGAAACCTACACCCACGAGTTTCGGGTACCTGACTTTTCGGGGCCTCGGGCTTGGACCCTCCCATGACCCTGGCCCTGGAGGTCATGGCGCAGAGAGATGGAGTGGAGAAGGCGAGGGAGGATGCTCGACCCGACTCAGGATGTTTTCGCAACTCCATTTGTGCTTATGCAACCCATCCCCGGACTCGGGGTTTCTGCGTTGTTTAGTGCTTGAAACTCGATTCAGTGCATAAGACCAAGAATGCTTATGGTCATCTAGTTTTTTGATAAGCTTCATTCACCGCGTTTCCTGTTTCGTGCTGTGTAGTGGCAGCGACAGGGTCCTGAGCAACTCAGCAAAAGGCATGTGACCAGCTCGAGTGGTGTCGCGTGTCGTGTTTTGCGATACATAACCCTCAAATCGAAACTGCTAGAGCCAACAACTCGCAAGCCACGCTCCAGAATGCTTAGCCAATCCTGAACCCAGGCCCTCAACAGTGAGTAGACAGCCCGAACCCATCAGGCTCAATTTTCCGTGCAGGTAGTGCACGGTTTGCACGGCCCTTAGCGTCGAGCTTGGATCTCAAACCCAGCTACAGAACCTTGGTAAAGCTCTGTCAGACATCCCAGAGCTCAAAGGAGATCGAGGATGCTGCCAAGAAGCTGGGTGCTGAGCCCCTCCCCGAGAAGACCGGAGGGAAGGTCAGAGGGCTTCATTCAGCAATACTTGCCCGCTGCGATTGTCACAACAACAGCAGCAACAACGACAACGACAAATCAAAACAACAACAACAACAACAACAAGCCAACAGATCGCCAGCGAGCAAACAACACACGAACAACAATGAAACAAACAAGCAGCCAGCCCAACCACACAAACAAGCATCAACGAAGCAACCGCCAAACAAACAAAAAAGCGAACAAGCAAGCACACAAACGAGACAAAAACATACAAGTACATGTACAATCAAGCAAACAGGCAAGCAAGCAACACACATCCACACCCACCCACACCCACGCTCCCACACCCCCACACCCCACGCCCCACGCCCCCACGCCCTCACACCCCACGCCCCACGCCCCCACGCCCTCACACCCCCGCACCCTCACACCCCCACACGCCAGACCCCGCAACCCACACCCCACGCCCCACACCCCACACCCACCCACACCCACACCCACCGACACCCACACCCACACCCACCCACACCCACGCTCCCACACCCCCACACCCCACGCCCCACGCCCCCACGCCCTCACACCCCACGCCCCACGCCCCCACACCTCGACCCCACAACCCACACCCCACGCCCCACACCCACACCCACCAACACCCCACCCACCACACCCAACCCACACCCACACCCCACCCACCCACACCCACCCACACCACCCACACCCACCCACACCCCACCCACACCCCCACACCCCCCACCCACACCCCCACACCCACACACCCACACACCCACGAACCCACACATCCCACACACCCACACACCCACAACACCACACACCCACACACCCCACACCCCCCACACCCACACACCCACACACCCACACACCCACACCCACACCACACCACCCACACCCACCCACACCACACACCCACCCACACACCCCCACCTTTGCACTGCTACCGCTACCGCTGCTACCACTACTGCTGCTACTACTACTCGTCTAACAATCATCTTTTGTCACCCAAGCCTGCTGCAGTTCCTGTGTCCGATGTTCGGGCGCATACAGACCATTATACCGCGTCCCGATTCCACATTCCTCAAGCGGCTCTGTAAGTCTGGGCGCCTTAGCCCATATTGACGAGCACACGCCCAGAAGCTCTGAGCCTCTGCGGTAGGTGGAAACCTACATCCGTCGCTTCTGCCCTGAGCTGTTAGAGCGTCTCGTGGAAGTGGGAGTGTTGGACTGAGAGTTTCCCTAGCAAAGTAGGCTTTTGTTCGGACTTGTGGCCATATGTTGGCGGAATGAAAGCGCGCACTGCTCCAGACTCCAGACGTCCAGTGACTCAACACTTTTCAAAGCTGCGTAGGATGCATGGTTGCAGACACAGAGGTCAAAAACCTGGCACGAGAATCTCTCGAGCGTTTTTTCCGGCGACGAGAGTGCTGCTGCAATTGCTCTCTGAGTGCCGCGCGACAAAAATTCACCGACACCCTTGCCTTCAGGCGTTGCTTGTGGTTCAGTGCTTTTCTTGCCTTCAGGAAGTCAAGTACCGTGTGAACTCAACTAGTTCTGAGAAACGGCGAAACTCTAAAGGCCTCCAGATTCAGCCGTAAACCGCCGAAAGCAGTCACTGGGACCACCAGTACCGTCCCAACCCCAGGAAACACAAGACAAGATCACAACCCAGAAACATTTCGAAGTCTTAAGAGATCCGCATTTTCTTTGCCCTGAACCCTATGCCTTGTGCCGAAGCAACCAACCAGAAACATCGTGACAAGCATGTCCGCGCCCGAAAGTGTTTTGACTCATCGTGCTTATCACTTGCACAGCTTGATGGCTTGGACTCCTTGGATGTGGGCATTTGTAGCTTCGCGTGCATAGAGAGAGAGAGAGAGAGAGAGAGAGAGAGAGAGAGAGAGAGAGAGAGAGAGAGAGAGAGAGTGAGCGAGCGAGAGGGCGTGTGCCAAGCAGTACTCAAAATCAAGATGGACAGATTGCAGCATCGTGGCTGCTTTGGAATAGAAGCAAATCCAACAGCAACATCATTGTCAGCATCTCCTCATAAGCTCACCATCAACTCAAGCAACAGCCTTCACTAAACTGAGTAATTATTGGCTTGCATGGACCACGAACACCCTTTCGTCGTTTTCCATGGGCACCGTATTCAGCAAAGGCAGCATACGACTTCCAAGGGATTCATCCAACGGTGCGGCTCTCCGGCAATTGACACGAAGTGGAGAAAGATTCCAAACACGGGTTCCACGTGCTCATCAAGCCAGATAGCTTAATGCAAATGTTGCTCTTTTGCGGGTCTCTGTTAGCATGACACCACGTGGGACTTTCTCGTCTGAGGAGTCTTCTTTTCTTAGGGGCATCCATCAAGGATCTATGACGTTTGGTTGATGCTAATCTTAGGTTTCCCATTTTCTGAACTCCCAACAAATGTTGGAATTCAAAACGGTTAGGCTTGAGGAGTACAGGGTTTTCTGGAGTCTTAGGGTTTGCATCCGCCAACCCTGGACCGCACAATCCTTAGCCTAGCCTCCAACTTTGAACCCTCAGTCGTTTACGAGCCGACATCCGATAGCCGAGGCAGTTTCCAAAGGCCCAGGTCACCAAAATTCCAGCACCAGATGGCCAAAGACGTACCACAACCAGCTGAAGCTTTAGAACCACAGTTTCGAAGGGTTTAGGGCTTAGGATCAACATCTTTCATCCTACAGCACCACTAGGACGGACCGTCGGGTTTCAAGAGCCCGGACGGCCGAAAGCCAGCAGCATCATTCATGCTGTCCCAACCGGCTACCCTGACCCCTCGCCCCCGCCCGGCGCCAAGAACCAAAACCAGAAACCTTGAGAGACCCTGAATTGGGACCGCCAGGTACCTGACCTTGCCCTGCAAGCTCCTCTTTACCCAGGCTGTTGGCTGTATTTAGTGTTTTGCTTGAGGATTGGAAATTTAGAGTCCGGATTCTCGGGTTCGGGATCCAGGATCCAGTTCTTTTCTGCGAGGGCTTCGGGTTTCGGAGCTTCAACAGACAGTCCTAGTTTGGCGATGGTTTCCTTCCAAAACCGAAAAACCCGCAACTGTAAACTTTCGTCATTGCCTTGAATATATACCCTCCCCGCTAGTTCTGATGTGGGGTCGTACAGTTTAGACTTAAGGATTGTGGCACACCGTAGCCCTGTCAATCTTGTTCACTCAAAGCCTTGAAGACCCACTGCGGCATTTTCCAGCAGGCTCTGCGCTACTGGGCCGTGTGCTGCGGTGCTCAGGTGTGCTGTTTGCCGTGTGTGTCCAGGTGCTTTTCTGAAGCAACTAACGCGTGCTTCCGGTACCGGTGAGGTCCCACCTGGCTACAAAGGATCCTTGAGCTTCGCAGTTGATTCCGTAGCCGTTGCAAAGCTGCCAATGTGGAGTCGTCGGATTCGGAAATGCCCATAGTCCATGCAGGCCTGCCCGAATGAAGGGCTTAGATTCTAGCGGGTGTTGTGTCTTGGCGTTGTGAGGACACTGTCTGAAAATACTGCTCAGGAGTCCTGGGAACTAACCCTCAGTCAATGTGCGACCTTGTGCCACTTCCCCTATCTGCACACATACAGTTGCTGTGTTTGGGTTCGGACAATCCGAGCCGCAACGAATCCTGGCTCCGAACACAATGGAAGGCAGAAAAACACAGGGAACGGGGAGAGCAGCCTCCCGCGAGCTTACGTAGTCGATGCCTGTCGTGCTTTTGCATTCTGACAGCTCGGACCAACCCTTAACAGAACCAAAGTCCTACGGCCTGAGGGAGAGAACACTCGATGTTCGGGGCCTACAGTTCCAAGCTCGATCACCCATGTCAGATGGGTTTCGTGGAGCTCTTTGCCGAGATCCGGAAGCATGTCAGACTCTTACGTCTTACTTCGCGGTTCTCAGTTGAATCAACACGACTTGTTGCCTTCTCTTCTACTGCAAGACTTCAGAGTCCACGTCCTCGATCCTCAGGGAATCTAGCAAGCTTTAGCAACGGTTGAAGCCGTCGGCTTTGGCTGGGGATTTCAGAGTGTTGCAGGCGTCGGCTTCTGATTTCTTGTGCACGTGGTGGTGCTTACAGTTTTGGATTGGCTAAGGCTGAGGCTGGCGGGATTCAGTGGGGTTTCGCTCCCTAGACACTGCATCTGGGCGCCGGTTTTAGTCACGATAGGTTTACGCCGCGATCTGGATGATAACATATTAGAACTCAAACTCGGCACCTACGAGCTTGCAAGCACTTTGGTGGTTAATTAACGGTGCTGGCAAGATACATACATACATACACACACAAGTAGAAAAATGTATGTATGTATGTATGTATGTATGTGTGTATGTATGTGTGTATGTACTTATGTATGTACGTATGCGTATGCATGTGTACGCGCCTGCGTACGCATACACGTACGTCTGTGTGTATGTGACAACCCTGTGTCCAAGGGTCTTCACCTCACGTCCTGCACTGACTTTGATTTCGCATTGACCGAGTTATAGCAGGGGACCTCACGTTCTGCACTGACTTTGATTTCGCATTGACCGAGTTATAGCAGGGGGATGAGACGCATGCTCAGTGATCTCATCCAACGAAGCTAACTGAGTATGCGGGAAGCTGAAACTGGCCATTTCAGTGTACCTGCTATGGGGGACTCCGCTCCTGGGTCCTGCGTGGCAGCTGGAGGGAGTCAGCAAGGTGCTCTGGGCCTGGTATGGCAGCTGGGACCTTGCACCCCATGATCCCATTGGACATGGCGCGGGCCTAAGCCGAGAACCCTCAGTGCGTGCGTTGGGCGCTATTCTTCTATGCCTGTGACATCCTGGTCTTCGCTGTACATGGTTCATCGTCGTACTGGTATATATGCTTTCTGCTTGGATGGCGATCGTTGGTCCTTGTCTTGTCCTTCGGTGCGTTGGGGTTCAGGCTGGCGTTGTGGTTTAGTCAGGCAGGTAGAGGTCTCAGGCCACGAACTTTCTGCTCTTCCTCTTTGCAGTTACTGTCCATGATGCCACATGTCAAAAGTTACCCAGCACGTGGTCGCCCGAGACCTGGGTGCTGGTACTGGTTCTTCGCACACAGAAACCTCACTTAGCATTCAGCATTCAGTGTGTGTCTTCGTAGGTGTATGCGTATGTGCATGGGTATGTGCGAGTTGTTGTAGGTGGAGGTGCAGGGGTACATAGGTAGGTATGTATGTTTGTATGTATGTGTGTATGTGTGTCATACATACCTTTATGTATGTACATGTAGCGGCTGCAGCTCCAAAGCTCCGTGAAAGTTCCGTGAAAAGTTCCTGCTAAAGTCGAGTTTGTCATATCAAGGCATTGCAATTTCTACGGCTGCTAGTGCCGCATACCACAACTAGCACGTTTCATGCATGGCCTACGTAGGGGGCGCCTGAAGCCTTAACCGGCCTTAACCTTAGCCCCGCGCCCCGCTTGCCGAAACTTGAACCCCAAACCTCAACTCTCTAGAACGCCGAATGAGCGCCTGTACTAGAGCACTGAAATGGGTCTTACATGAAGCCTGTAAGCAGCCCTCATAGAAACCTTAAACCTGGATATTCATCAAAAAACATGTCCGCGAAAGTTCCGCTAAAGAAACTCATATGGTCGTGAACAAGGTCATGCGGAGATGAACGAACTCAGATCAACGCTCATGTATGTATGTACGTATGTATATATGTAAGCATGTACCCATGCATGCATCATGCATGCATGCATGCATCGACTGTAATGGAAGGAAGGATGGATGGATGGATGGATGGATGGATGCGTGTGTGGGTACGTGTGTATGTGTGCTGTACATATGTATGTATGTTTGTATGTATGCACGTACTCATGTATATGTACATTTATGGCTGTATGTACGTGTGTATTGCTACGTGGTGTTATGCAATGTAATGTAATGCAATGTAATGTCGTCTGCTCTAGTGTGGTGCAAATGTAATACCAGGTAATATAATGTAATGTAGCCATGGAGTCTCATGTCTACTGTAGCCAGATGTAACCCAATGTAATCTAACGTGCACATAATGTAAAACAGTGCAGTGCAATGTAATCTATACACACAAGACAAGAAGTGGTAGGAGTTGCGGTCTGCTTTTGATCTAGTAAAGCTTCTTCCAGTTTTTCCTACGGGCATCTGAGGAGGTGGGACGGTGGTGTGGGGTTTGGGGTCCGCGATTCCATGTTTGGCTCTAAGGGTTGCGGCTTCAAGTACTTCGGGCTTAGGGGAC